AGCAACCCGTGTTCGATCACGAGACCTGCCTGATGGCAAAAAACTTTGGCAGCTGCATTGCAAGTCATGCTGAAGCCTTCAGAAAGTCGGCCCTGTTGGAAGATGCCCAAGTGACGATCGTTTTTGAGGATACACTTGTTGAAGCTGTGAAAAACGGGGACACCAAATGGGAAACACGAAGCCAGCCATATTAGGGCATATTAGGGCGCCAAGCATGTAAATCACCAACAAACTAATTACTTCCTTCTCCAATGGCCCTGTTTCGCAGGGTGGGCCCCGCAGCCGCCCATGTCCTCCCCAAACCAAGACTCGACTACAATCTTGTTCGTATTTGGAGACACTCTCAAGTCTGACTGGGACCACTGGAATCCCCAAATCAAAAGCTGATGAATTTGCTGGTGACGCTTCCACTAACAATCAGTTTACTGCTGAGGTTTGCACTGACACTGCCACTTTTGGAGGTAACAAGGGAAATGGCTCGGAACCTTATGTCGTGCTAGCTCGTTCAGTTCCTCCGAGCCACGAGAGCGAAAGAATGATGAAGAAGATCAAGAGCCTCAGCGCCGCGAGAAAAAAAATCTTCGCGCGTGACAGGAGATGTCCCGGACGCGAATGCGACACTCGTCCGTTGAACAAATCCACGTGACAGATTTGAGAAGAAGAGGTCTGCCCGGTCTGCATCGGCACCTTCGAGCTGGTTCAGATGGCCACGATTCTGATTGTTGCGGACCCGTTTCCTCCCCAAGTGCACTTCCTTCGACTCATTTCTTTCCGCGCCAAGCGGCACAGTGATCTGCCTGCACACTCGGCTCATGACTCCAATGTCCTGCGCATAAGGCGAATGGCAACCATACAAGGACTTGGAATCCGTTTTGGGGTCGACCATTTTGGATAGGAAACCTCCAAACAAAAGGGGGAACACGGGTGCCACGAAAAAATGGGCAAGTCTCCACCCATCCTTTTCTTCAAACAACCAGGTTCCGTAAGTGTTTAGCATTCTGAAGCGAAGGATGCCTGGAAATACAGAAAAGGCAAAGGGGCTCTTGCCGTGCCCCACTTTTCTCCAGTACACAAATGGTTCAAGGGAATCAGGTGCCCTAAAGACAGGCAACCCTTGCAAGCGTCTCATAAGAGCAACCCTTGCAAGCGTCTCATAAGAGCTTTACCACCCAGAAAACTGGGGGGAGAAACCAAATGCGAGGCTCATCAGTAGAAGGTTCCATGAGAAAGAGGTGATGTCGGGGGGCTCCAATCGTGTAATGATCAAAGCTTGGTCCTCATGTGGCTCCAATGCTATGTCGCATTGTGTGTCGTTTTGTCGCTCGTGTCCGTGTTGGGGCTTTAGAAGCAAAGGCGGAACTCGCGTCCACAAGACTCCGCATGCGAATCGCGCCAGATCTTGACCTCATACCTTTCTCGTGGGTGGTCCTTTTGTGGATGACAAGTTTTGCATATTTCAAGTAAGTCCAAAGCGACCCTTTTCCACATCCTTTTTTAACCGCAGGGCCATCCTTGACAAGAAGCTGGTTCCCATCTTCGCAACTATGTGCTCTCTGCCCAAACAGGGAACCAGCTGAATGAGCTATACATGCCTCCCCCAAACTCAAAATCCCCTCTCCCCCGCTCACCCAACGTGACTGGAAATGAACCCAGTCAGTGTCAACTCCAAGCCTCCAGCCCTCCACATCCAGCCCCCCCCCTGTCGCGTCGCGTCGCGCCTGGTTCTCCCAGATGATGTCCGTCGGCTGCGGCGCCCGGCTGACTTTGATGGCCTTGCCTCCGATCCAATCCGATCCGACGGGAATCGGTGGAAATCGGCACCACATGCACCACTTTGAAACCATGGGAAACCGCTGTTTGTTGGTATTTACAGGGGGAATCATCATTCCAGGGTTTCTGAGGTGGTGTAGGAGATCATCCACCCACAGTAGGTTTCCTGGGTCCAACCAAAAGTTTGATCAATCCATTTATGGTTCGAATGGAAGTAAAGGTTTGGGGCCGTGAGTGGATTCCAAACCCATCCTGTCCACTTCCAGCTTTGTTGGAAAGAGGGTACTGGTGGGGCTCTGTTGGAGGCCTGAACAAGTTGGAAATGGAGAAAAAGGAAGCTTCTTGCAACTCAGTCTTTCAAATGCTGGAAGGACTTGGACCGGGCCCACATGTCACCTCATCGAGATTTGGACATTTCGCAGCCTAACTCGCGAAGGAAGAGCCCCCTAGGAGGAACCTCCCTTCGATGTGGCATGCATTCCAACCACAAAAGAAAACGAGTCTGCAATAAATACATCTCCCCAATTCCATGTTTAAACACATTACAGTTGCCCAAAGGACTCAGAAAACAAATGGTGAACCGTTTGGGGCCACTAAAAGTGGCTACCAATGTGAAACCGTCAAAAGGTCAGATCGGGTCGATTCGCTTTGGTTGCAAGTGAGTTACACCTATCGCCTTGGCGACAGATCTGGCGAAATGGACCCCCCCCCGCCTTGGAAGCAGCGCCCGCGGAACTGGCAGAGGCGGAAGAGCCTGTACTTGGCAAAACCTCGGAATGGGTTGTGACCCCTTGTGACCTACCGTGGCCTTTGGCCTTCAAGAGAAACCAACAGGGTCTGTCTTTTTGTAAGGTTGGAAGCACCAAAAACGGTGGTTTTCCAGTCGGCTTCACAAGGCCCATCCCATCGGGGAATCATTCCCCAGAATGGGTTGTGATTCCGCACAAGCTGCACTTCAAGGGCCCGGAAAGCCTCGCGAAGCCTCGCGAACACTGAGACGCAGCATGGCCAGACTTGAGTCGGTGCCCGGGACGCGTGCGGTAGTCAAAGAGCAGGTTGTGGACCTAGCATTCCGATGGCGTCCTCTTTCTGGAGGAGTGGCAAACTCAGGAGTTGATTCACACCCCTTCGAGGGATTTTCTTCGACCCCCCTTCCCGGTTGATTTGAAAAACTGGGCCCCGCTCAGCGAGACTCTCAAACCCTCGGTGGTGCAAGCCGCAGTTCGGGCGCCCGGCATCCTCCGTGCAGCTCAAAATGGCGTAGGCGCGGACCTAAGAGCTGAAGCTACCATGCAAGGGGGGGAAGGCGGTCTCAAGGACTTCTTTTTGCTCGGGATGTCGAAAGACTTGGTCCTCCTTCAGGTCCCTTTAAAGACCACCCAAAAAGGGTTCCACCATTTTGAGAACCTCCCATCTGCTTTTGGAGGCCAAATAAACGTCAGAAGCGGAAACCCTGAGGATGCCCTCTTTGGAGTTGTCTACCCATAAGCCATTGTTGCAGCCGGTCCCTCGAATATCCACTTGCTAGGCTTGCGAGGGCTTTTGCACCTGCACCTTGGCCGGGTGATTTCTTAAAGCCTCAGGGTGTTGAGGCTCAAAATGGACGGTATGCACAAAAATTAGTTCGGACCAGGAAGTTGGGGGGCGCCATCGCGTTGCCCAACACCCTAATCCTGCTTTCAGCCGGGCAGTTTTCGGCTTGAGAGGGAAAGCTCAGTCCTTCGGGGAATCACCCAAGCGGCATCTTGGCTAAGAAGGGCCACATTTTCCCAGACAATCAAACAAACATCAGGGTCCCGGAATGCCCATATTTGCCGAACTACTATCCTTCAACAAACCAGGTGCACATGTATCCTATAGTTGCTGTCATACACGAGAACCCCCAATCACCCCACCCAATTTACCCCATGTACCCGGCCCGGATTATTCTCCCTAGCCGAAACCACCAACGACACCACCTACAGCAAGTGCGTTGCATGGTTTTATTCTGCAACAGGGACCCGGCACATGCCACTGCCGAAACCCATTGTCAGCATCCCTCGCTTCCATCTACGAGTTTGCTCCATATTGGACAACTATCGCCAAGCCAGCAAGTGAAAGTTGCGATGCAAAATAAAGTGATCCCCTAAAAACCTGGCGGATTTCCTTTAGTTCCTTTTTTAGAGCCCTAAAAGACCGGCAGGTTCCTTTTGGTTCCCCTTGCAAACCCTAAACAAATTCCCTTTGGCGCTGCTTAAGCCTTCACCAACCAAATCTCATTCCCAACTCTGTTCAACCCTGTTTCCCCCTGGTCTTGGAAAGAACCCTCAAGTTCTTGGCTTTCGGTGGAAGTGAGGGGATTCTGATTGTTATCCCCAGGTTCTTGCCTCTTCTTGGCTCTGTGAACCACGTACCCTCACACTGCTCATCAAAACGGGAGAATTCCCTTGGGGAAGCCCATAGGCCACTATAAGACTACTTTCCTCTTGGAAAGGGAATTTGTGCACTTCCACGTTGGGGGTATTACCCTCAAACTACCCATCAAAAAGGAAACATTCACCACCCTTTGGGGCTGTATAACCCGTGTTCAATGGGATTTTCTTTGTTGCTGTTGACCCCCCTACAAAAGTTTAACTTTTTGTGAGTTTAGTTGAAAACCCCTTGATTTCCCACAAAGTTAAAGTCTAAAGATCCAGCCAAATAGCAGTCAAGTATTGCGGGTTCTTTTACCCCCTTCCCCAAGTTCAAACGAAAAACGGAAGCCAACCGCCCCGGCCACAGGCAGCTCGTCGTCGCCATCCAGCTTGCTGCCCAGCTTCGTGTTCGTCTTCCTGGGACGGAAAGTGGCAAAACATCCCCGTGGTTCGTCTAGAAAACTTTGAAAACACGGGCATTTGGGTATGGGTCAAAATAAAACATAAAACTAGCAGGGGACCGCATATTTTAGTCTTTGGTTCCATTTACCAGGGTTCCATTTTAGTACCGGTTTTTTGACCCATAGCCATTTTGCTTGGTTCGACTAAACCGTACACCAGTGGTTGGGTCTTTCTCAAACCCCCAAACCCACCTATTGCAGACCCGCAAACCCACCCATTGCAATCCTTTCTGTTGTTGACCAAAAAAAACTGGGCTTTGCGTGATCTGATCCCCTGCTAACAGTGGAAAACGTTTGGTGGGTTGAATGAAAATCCAACCACCAAACCCACCAAAAACAACTAAAAACCAAAGGGGATGGTTGGGCACCAAGTTGT